GTGAAACACAATCAGTGTTTGTTAATCTATCAAGTAAGATCCTATTTTTTTTAAGATTTTATTTATTTATTTGACAGAGAGAGAGAGAACGCAAGCAGGCGGAGTGGGAGAGGAAGAAGCAGACTCCCCTGCCGAGCAGGGCACCCAATGTGGGGCTTGATCCCATGACCTGAGCCCAAGGCAGATGCCCAATGACTGGGTTGACAGGTTCTGCTCCCACTCTGTGGTTTCCCTGACTTTATTTTCCTTGGAGTTTACAAAGTTTCTTCAATCTATAAATATAAGTTTGTTTTTGTTTTTGTCTTTGTTTTTAATGAAATTTGGGAAGTTTTCTACCATTATTTCCTCCTATATTTTTTCTGGCCCCTTTTCTTATACATTGCATATAACATTTCTAAACCACCCCATACATCTCTATGGTTTTCTTCTTTCCCCCCTAATCTTTTCTTTTTCTTCTAATGGTTCTGTCAACCTATATCCAAGTTTATTTCTCTATCATATTAATTTTGCTAATAATAAACCTATACAGTGAAATTTTTTTAACTTCAGATGTATTTTCAGTTCTAAAATTTCCACTTCTTAAAAATTTTGTGGCTGATAATTCCCAGTTCATTACAAGCAAAATTTTTTTAACCTCACTAGTTATAATAGCTCCCTAAAAGTGCTCATGTAATAATTCCATGATTCTGGGTTACCTGGTAGTTGGTGTGTGCTGATTTTCCCTTTCCTTGAGAAATATCACATTTTCCTGGCCTTTCATAGGATGAGAAATTTTGGATTATATATATGCTGGACATGGTGAAAATTATTCCATAGAGACCACATTGTTCTGAAAAGTATTTCTGTTTTTGTTTCGTCAGATCATTTTCTTGCCTAGATACAATTACAGACTGTCATACCTCTTATGTGTGGTATCTCAGGTCTCAGTTCAGTTCTTGAAGCCTTATTTATAATCTATTATCAGTATGTCATGATCATCACAGTTTCAGGGGTTGGCCAGAGATTCAAGCTGAATTTTTTAAATACAGAATTCAGATTCTTCTCTGGTTTTCTCTTTTCTGGGGTCGCCCATTACTCCATGGGATGGTGATTGACCAAGTACTTTTTAACCTTAATTTTCCTGGCCAGAAAGTTTCCCAATCAAAGTAAAAAATGGGGAATTCAGCCCATTCTGATCACCTGTTTCATGTTTTAACACCTCTCTAAAACCTGTCTGCATTTACTCAGTTTTTAGAGCCTCACATAGTTCTTTATATAACATGCAGAAAGTGGTTATTGTGGGAATATTACTTTCTTACGAGTTTGCCTATCCAAGCAAGTATCAGAAACCCTCCAAAGTGATTTTTTTAATGATTTTTATTTATTTATTTGAGAGAGTGAGAGACAGAGAGAGAGAGAGAGAATGCACACATAAGCAGGGGGGAGAAGCAGAAGGAGAGAGAGAAGCAGACTCCCTGCTGAGCAGGGAGCCCAATGATGTGGGGCTCGATCCCGGGACCCTAGGATCGTGACCTGAGCCGAAGGCAGACATTTAACCAACTGAGTCACTCAGGCACTCCTCCAAAGTGATTTTTAACTAACTAACTAACTAACTCTGCACATTTTTTCTGTATCAGTTAGATCTTTATCGTAATATAATAAACTGATAAAGAATCACTATGCTATCATTTTATTGAATGGAAGACAAACCACAAAGCAAAATTTTAGTATTGAAAAATTTAGCAATGCAGACGAACTGCTTAATAATTAGGAAATGTACAATAACAATTATAAAATATCAGAACTTTAAAATCTGTTTTGCAAAATTATGTCAAAAAGCCACTGTATAAGATACTTGTAGACACTGAATAACCACATCAAATAGAGCTTAACTCAGAGTAAATTTTTCCATCCTAGACAAAATTACAGTGAGAAATTTTTTTGTTTTACAAATTATTACCAAATCTAATGCTTTGTTTGATTAGTAATACCCTCCTTTTATTTACTGTTTACCTAAAATAACTAAGTGCAAAATATTCACTGACAAGCTATATTGCTCAAAACCAGACATTTCACAGAAAGAAAATTACCTAAAACTCCAATGGTCAACAAGTCAAAATTACATGGGACAGGCTGTATAGTATATACAGTTTGAGGACATTATTTTGGGGGGATTTATTTTATCTCAGAGCCCAGATGTTGACATGCTATCGACATTAAGCCCAGAATCACAGAGAATACCAACTGACGATCATACTTATTAGAAGCTCCAAATAACCTGCATCAATGAATATAAATACATTATTATATAACAATAATTCTAGCTTCGTTTGTGATTTAAGCCAAACGTCAACTGATTATTACATCCTAAACACCATAAAAACTCCACTGCAACTTTCTACCCTTCAACTCACAGGAAGTGACTTTGACTCCTATTTTACCCAAGAAAATTGAAATCATTATGTGTGAACCACTTCAGCTTTTTCTTTGTCATAACACAATCTGATCTTCATTTGTATCCTCTCCTCTTTCCTTTCATTCTCTGAATTTCTAGAAAACAACTTCAATGTCAAAAATTTTTACAGATGCCTGTCCTGATTGTAATTCTACTTTAGTATTTACAAATTGAGAAAATACATATACCCATGGATTTACACAATCTATTTCCATTAATAACACGGGGCTCAGGGGGCACCTAGGTGGCAGAGTCATATGAGCATCAACTCTTGGTTTCGATTCAGGTCGTGATCTCAGGGTTGTGAGATTGAGCCCCATGGGCTCCATGCTCAGCAAGATCTTGGCTTGGGACTCTCTCTCCCTCTGCGTCTCTCCAACCCCCCACTCTAAAATAAATAAATCTTTTTTTTTTTTTTAAGATTTTATTTATTTATTTGACAGACAGAGATCACAAGCAGAGACAGAGGGAAGCAGGCTCCCTGTCGAGCAAAGAGCCCGATATGGGGCTCGATCCCAGAACTCTGGGAGTCATGACCTGAGCTGAAGGCAGAGGCTTTAACCCACTGAGCCACCCAGGTGACCCTAAAATAAATAAATCTTTAAAAACCAAACCAAACCAAACCAAGGGGTTCAGTGGGCTATACCCATAGGTTGGAAACTTTCAAAGCTTAATGAAATACTTTTTCATGCAATGCCCAAAATTTCAAGGTACTTTCTTTTGAAAGTCCTGATTTGATATAGGTACTCTATTGTCTATGTTATAGGATGCTTGGAATACATTCTCTACCACTTGAGTATTTGTGTACAGAACATAGTGACACAGGGTTACTACTCATTTCCACTTCTGCTGTGAAGGACTATGATGAGAAAGAGCCATGTGACAAATTACTAAATCTGCAAAGTGGTTCAAGACAATGTTTGCTCCTTTCCAAATAAAGGAATTACATAACTTGTTTATATTTAGTCCTTTTTCTTTTTCCTGCCAGGAAGCTCCCATCATTTCTAAAATTTCACTATAATCATCATATTGGATTTATAGTTTGCAAAACTGTTTTTTTTTAATTTGTTTCTTAATTATGCATCATTGATTTGATTCACTTAATATCATTCTGGCAGTACTTGAAAAAAACCACTTCAAATATTTTAGGCCAAGCCAAAGAATAACAAAAGGAGGCAGAAAGTACATTAATCTAAAAATCTGAATTACAAGGTGCCTCGTTAGTGCAGTAGGTAGCGTTGTCAGTCTCATAAAAATCTGAATTACAGAAACATTCCCATGCAAGGCCAACACATGGCAGAACCATGACCCAAACGAAACCAAAGGAATGACAGAATAAAAAGTGCTGTATAAGCACAAAGTTGTTTCTAGGGATAGTAAAATAAATGATATGGGAAAAGATCGTAGCAAATATTTTCACATTGACACAAAAATAACAGCATTATTGTCATTTAATATTATTCTGATTATTTTATAAACACCGGGAACAGAATTATTTTTGTACCCCTTTTTTCATAATACAGTCTTCATACTGATTATTTGAACACTGTTTTTAAGAAAACAGCTCTTCCATGCAAGACATAAACTTCTTCAAAATTATAAATACTTTGACTTACACCCCATAATTTTCTCTCAGCTCCTAAAAGTCACAAAACAAACTGAGCGTTGATGGGGGGAGGGGGTTTGGGAGGGGGGGTGGGGTTATGGACATTGGGGAGGGTATGGACTATGGTGAGTGCTGTGAAGTGTGTAAACCTGGCGATTCACAGACCTGTACCCCTGGGGATAAAAATATATTATATGTTTATTTAAAAAAAAAAAAAAAGAATATCTAACAACAAAAAAAAATAAAGCCTACAAAAATAAAATTTGGGATGTCACAGCTCCTAATGTGATTTAAATAAAACTCTTATATCTTATTATTACAGGTGTACTGTACATTAAAAACTAATTTATATATGTGAATGCAGTATCTTGCCTAATTAAGTCTTCATTTTGAAAGTTAAAAAACAGGAAGAATATGATAAATCATATTAAATAATTGATTTTGCAAAATTCAGATACTCACTACTATACGGACCTTCTCCACCTATTGTAAAGGACGAGCAAAAGTAAAAACTAAAACTGAATTAATTTCAGTCACATGTAATTTTATACCATTTTCCTCTTAAATCTTTATTCTTTCCAAATTATCTCTAATTTGAACAATAATGGTCATTTCATTTGTTCATTCTGTATTTCAAAATTTGAGATTTTAAATTCCACATTAAGCAATATGGTTTTATAAAATTTAGTATTTCAGAATTATGTTAACAAAAGCCATGGCTTTAATATGAGAAAATATTCTAAAGAATTTTAAAACTTCATAAAAAGAAAGTAGTGAGAAAGAGAAAAAGCACCTTGGAAACAAAATGAAACCTGTAATAACAGCTGAGTTCCAAACAGCAGAGATAACTCTGAAACCACATTGAAGAAAGATTATTGCTATATATCATATAGTATCACATTTCACATAGAGTTCACATAAAACTTTCCATAGAATTTATAACAAGATACTTATTACTACCTTATATCCAGGTCCTAACTGATGAATTGCAAATATCTGCGCAGGGTTGAGCGCTTCACTGAATACATACACGGCACCAAGTTGACCACAGAACACCCTATTTGCATCAGCAGTTTCTGAAGATCCGAGAAAGCACTTGTCATAGCTCTATTTTTAAAAAGTCACAAAAAAAACAATGTATTATTTTGTAATGATAAAATATTTAAAGATATCTGCCTTCACTGTCATGAATACCTTAAAATATAACAATAATAATAGAAGAAAGCATCACTTAAGACTTTATGGAGTATTTAAATAATAAAGGCCAGCTAAAGACTTTTAGAAAAAGTATATCAGTTAAATATTTTATATCTATGAAAAAGCAAAACAAAACAAATCATCTCTTCAATAATCACTTAAGCACTACAGAAATGTTATACTTAAAGGCAAAAGGGCTTATAATTTTATTTACAAAAGTAAAACTAATTTTAAAACTCTAATGATTTATCAATTGTCCATATATAGAGAGATTCATCTGAATCAGAGAATGACTATTCCATATGTTAACCATAAACACATAAGCCCTAATTTTTGAAACTAATGTCTCCCCCAGGGATATATATTCCTCTATCTCTCCACACTAAGTCAAGGACACAACGAAAATCACTTCCCTCTCTTCCATGAGTAGGCATTACGCAGAACCAAATCAATAATGATCACCAAAATCTGCTACTTAAAGCACGTGGTATGGTGCTCTCCATCGGGAGAATTCAAGACCTTAAGAAGCCACACTTACGAAGACCCTTCCCATCTCTGCTTCTTAAAATCTCACCAAATATTAGGCCCCGGTTTCCTTCCCCCATCCTCACAGGATATTACACACCTCAGCACTAATAAGCAAGACATTAAATATATATGGTTTTCCTTTGGTGCCTCAATAAAATGACAAAATATCTGTGAATGAATTATGAAGACAGAAACTCATCAACAGATACCCAATCTGTAATTAAAACTATAGGAACTGAAGAATTTATTGCATAATGTTATGTGCACATATGTGTTATTGCCCAGACCTCTCCATTTTTTGGTACACTACTGCAAATAATTTAGAAATCTAAGTCTTTTTTTTCTTTTCTTTCTTTCTCTCCCTTCCTCTCTCCCTCCTTCATTCTTTCCTTCCTTCCTTCCTTTTTAAATATAACTGCAGAGTTAGTGACAGTCAACAAAATCTCTTGGGTTTCTTCCACTCTATAATAAAAAGTCCCCCCTCTGGAAGGCAGATATGAAGTAGAATTGCATCTGTGTATTCTAATTCTGCAAAATCATTCTCAAAAATTGACTGTTTCTGGCCCAACTATGAGTTTCAAGGGCAAAAAGAGCAAGCTTGTTCTATAAATGAATACACAGTAAATATTTTAAACTTTTCAAGCCACATGTGGTTTCTGCCATATAATCTTTTTTGATTTTTGCCCCAATATTTAAAAAAAAAGAAAAACCTCTAAAAATGAAAAAAAAAAAAAGATTCTTAGGTCATGAAAAAATAGGTCAAGGTTCAGATATGGTCTTCGAGGGTACTCTTGACTTAGGGCAAAAGCTATGGACTGTGCACACAGCATTATGTGGAAGAAAACCAGAGAGAACAAGAGACCCTGCTCTTGAGTAAATTAAAGTCTGGAGAGATACAGACAATACTAAGAAATGAATTTTGTTAAAAAGATGTAAGTTTTTGTAAAACCAGGCATGCTGGAATGCTCGTATATTATTGGGTTTGGAAGTACTTTTGGCACTAGAAAACATCTTTTACTTTGGTTCTAACAGGCCAGGATAATGAAAGGGGAAAGCCGAGAACAGAGCTCTTGAGGTTTTAACTCTAGATATTCTCTATCCAGAATCCAACTGTGTAACCTCCCTCACTGTTAACAGGCAAGTCAAAACTAGTATTGTTTGTTATTAACAAAATAAATCATTTAATTGATCTCTCTACTTCTGTCATTTTTTTCCTTCAGAATATTCTCAATACTGCAGCCTGACTGATATTTTTAACATATGCACCAGCATTACATCACTCATCTGCTCAAAACCTTGCAAAGATTTTTAATGTTGGGTAAGATGGGAAAGTCCAGGTATTGTGTCTGCACATAAGGCCCTGCATGATTTCACCCCCTGCTGTCTACCTAACCTTATCTCTTAAACATTATTCTGTCCATTCCTCCCTCTGTTCTAGACAAACTGATTGCTTTTTTCTTCAATTAACTTCTCAGTTCTGTCTTAAAGACTGCACTCACTGCTTCCAGCAAATGGGATATTTCTCCTCAATATTCACATGACTTGCTCCCTCAACTCTTCTAAAATCATCTCATACCATCTGGCTTCCCACTTCCCTACACCTATAATTTCTAAACCTAGTCCCGCTAAAATTTTTTCCACAGCATTTATCATACTGACTACATGTTATATTTATTCATTTTGTAATTAAAATCTTCCTATCACATCCAAATAACGTGCAAGACACAGTTTTTAACTGATTGAAATTTTGGAAAGAATAGAATACTGCATAGATGTTTTTGACCTAATAATTTATTGAGCAATTTTCTTTTTTTTTTTTTACCACTAATTGTCTATTTTAGCAACTTAATTATATTAAAGACCTAAAAATTCACTTAAAAGAAAGTAGCTTTCAAAGTATAACTATTAAGTTCCTTCCAAACTATTTTATTATACAATTCATGTTATGAACAATGACAGATCACACACTCAAAAACATTAAAGCACAGATTAAAAAAAAAAAAAAACTTACATCATTTGTGTTAACATGCCAAGCCATATCACCATAGGATACCAGCTGCCCATTAACATAACACCGAATTTCACTGTTCCTCCATCGATTATAAATGTGGACAATGCTGATCATGTACCACTTAAATAAAAAAAATTTTAAAGACCTTAATATGTCATGTTTAGTTATTGTCTAAAAAAGCAATCATAACATTCATAACACACTATAAGAAATGCTTGAAATAATAATAATTACACATTACTATTTCAAGTTCCCCCTTATTTCTCATTTTGCAGATGGAAGAAGTGACTCATAAAGAATAAATCTGTGATGAAGACAGACCTAGAACACCTTGAACTCTGGAATGATACTCCTTCCATTATACTAAGATCCAAATATTATGGAAATACAATATATTTGTGTTCATTCATTTAATAACATGTATATTCTGCCAGGTACCACAAATGCCCAAGTTTGACCAGACAGAGCATAGGTCCGGCTCTCCTGAAATTCATGGTATAATGAGAGAGACACAGATTAGATATATAAAGATATATAAAATGATGAACAATGAACTCTATGAAGGGGAAAAAACAAAACCACTGTAAACTGAGAAAGAATAACCTAGGATTCTACTTTGAATTGTATGGTCAGGAAAGACCTGTCAGAGGAACAACATTTTAACATTTATAATAAAATTTAGGTGATTTCAATTCCACAATTTAGATTTATTAGGTCCAAGTATAATTATATATTTTTAACCTGATAATGTGCGACTATGCATTAAGAATCTAGGAATGAGTTTATATTAAGTTCTTACTTTATAGCTCCTAAGTTCAACCAAAAGCATTTTAAGTGTATACTTTGATACAGAATGGTTTAAGTTCCGTAACAATTTGTGGCTCCAACCTTACTCTTTTGAAAGTTAATAATCTAAGGCTGATTATACAGAAATAGTTTTCTAAAATATGAAAAAAAATTCAAAAATTTACAGATACTTGAACAAGTATGCCTTCTGTGGTTAAGGAGGGAAAATTGGATTTAGTTTCCTCCCCCAAAATAAAAATATATAATACACACTTTATTTCTCAAATTTCTTAGAAGTACTATTCGATTATTTCATATAGCATATTTTGAAAAACATAAACCTATAGTAATAATTCCCAACTGCTAAAATATTAGTTCTTTCAAGGTGTCTGAAAAACTTTGAACAAAATTCAATTTCTTTCATTTTGATTTAGAAAATAAAAATTGTGCACTCAAAATTCATGGAAGACAATAACACAAATGACATTGTTCCTCAATTATAGAAACAAAATGTCAGGGGTGCCTGGGTGGCTCAGTGGGTTAAGCCGCTGCCTTCGGCTCAGGTCATGATCTCAGGGTCCTGGGATCAAGTCCCACATCGGGCTCTTTGCTCAGCAGGGAGCCTGCTTCCCTCTCTCTCTCTCTCTCTGCCTGCCTCTCCGTCTACTTGTGATCTCTCTCTGTCAAATAAATAAATAAAAATCTTTAAAAAAAAGAAAAAAAAGAAACAAAATGTCAGGTCAAACTGCTGAACCCCTAAAACATGGGCCTTTTTAAAGTTGTTTTCATTTTAGGTAATCCTTAACTCCAATTATTGCAAACTGAATCTTCACTGGATCAGAAACCAATATATATGTTTGTCCTGACAGAAAAAAAAAAAAAAAGCAGAAGAAAATCTTTAAAGTCAGTCATTTAACAACTCATATTTCTAAATATTATGAAATTATCAGGCAGAAGCCATGAAAATGGAGCTTTAAATAAATTTAAGAAAAATCTTACAGTTTACATGCCTAAGAATTCAAATTTACCTATGTTACCCTCACTGAGTTTGAAAATTTTCCATCAGAATGCCATCTAGGTAACACAGGAAATACAATCTTTATATTTTGGAGTACAATTTTTAGAAATTTCAAATTTCTAAACAGAATACACATAAATAAATGTCTTTAAATAGAAGAGGACTTCCTGCTATCCAAAGACAAGTTTAAGATAAATAATATTAGGTGTATTATTATAGTTACTGAGATACCTAATATAGAAAAGTACTTATTTAATAAATATTTATTGAGCTCTTTTTCCTGTGTACCAGATAATTTAGTGTACTGGGCTGGAAAATACAAACTGCGAATTCACACAGATATAAACTGAGTTCCCAGGTTACCAGCTCTATGGCTTCTGGCAAATTATTTAGCCTCTCTGAACCAACTTCCCTGTCTAAAAAAGGAGGAATAATAATGCCTACTTTATGGAATGACTATGAATATTACAGATAATAGACAACATATGAAAATTATAAGGAACAGTTCTTAATACATATTTGGCACCCATATAAATAAGATAGCATTAACTAAATATATATTCATTTTTTTATGCATTATGTCCCCAAATGAGATTTTTTTCTGCTGGAATTAACACTATTTACTCCTCAGGGTCATTCCCTCATTCAAAAAATTTACTGAGCATCTGTTTCATGCCAAGTATCACCCAGACTGCGGGCATACGAAGATAACATATAAACCCTTAAGGAGGTTTCACCAGAAAAACAAACATAAAAACAACTATAAAACCATCACAAATATCTAAAACACAGATCTGGGAGCAAAAGAAGTAATGACTAACTGAAGGCAGGGGGAAAAGACAAGACAAATGGAGAAGGAAGGCTAACAGAGAAGTCACAAAAAAAGTAAAATGAAACTTAAGATATAGCTTAAAGGATGAATACAAACTGTTGCGGAAAAAGGAGAGAAAGAAACATTCCAGGCAGAAGAAGCCTAATACTTCACATTATAACACAGATTCCTGACAAAATTTTTCTCCGTGTTTAGATTTAGCTGCAATAACAAAGACCAGCTTGTAAAGAGAAGTGTAGACACCTTTAGTAATTGGACTTTGTTTCTGCATAATGTGGTATCACTAGGAATTTGAAGCAGGAAAGTGAAATGATCATCTTCATAGTTTAGGAAATAACCAGCAATAGTGAGTGAGTGGGCTAGTTAGGAAAATGTGGTTAAAGATAAAGCTGAAAACTACTGCAAAGGTTCAGGTAAGAAAACTATAAAAGCCTAAATTAAGACAAAGGCATTTGTAATTAAAAGAAGGGGGATAGGGACTAATTAACAGAACTGATTGAAAGTGATGATACAAAAAAAGCAAATATAAGATGGTCTCCAATTTTTCACTTAATTTGGTTGTGGTACCATTAACTTGAGATAATTAATACAGTTAGCCACTTAATTAGCCAGATAACAAGATGTGGAATAACAGAGTTTGCTTTTGGTCATAACACTGATATTTGATAAAACTGATGAATGAATAAATGAATGCAGAGTTGAATGAACAAACTGATCTCAGTGAAGATCAAAGTAGTTTCAGGAAAATTAACTTTTCTGTTCTCTTTTCTTGGTATATCAATATATCCCTTATATATAATAGACAAATGCCTTTTCAATTCCAAAGAGCTCAACCTTTGACTTGATATTTTTGACTTACATTTTTTTTTAAAGATTTTATTATTTATTTGTCAGAGAGAGAGGGAGAGAGAGCGAGCACAGGCAGACAGAAAGGCAGGCAGAGGCAGAGGGAGAAGCAGGCTCCCCGCCGAGCAAGGAGCCCGATGTGGGACTCAATCCCAGAACGCTAGGATCATGACCTGAGCCGAAGGCAGCTGCTTAACCAACTGAGCCACCCAGGCGTCCCTTTGACTTATATTTTTAAAGAAATGGGAGGAAAGCTGGAAACTATGTATCATATGATTGTATGTACATCTACTGAGGCCTGCATTTAATTAAGACTCAAAAATAGATCTATAAAAGAAGAACAAGAAAAAAAACTGTAATAAGAATTCACAGGAAAGGGGCGCCTGGGTGGCTCAGTGGGTTAAAGCCTGTGCTTTCGGCTCAGGTCATGATCCCGGGGTCCTGGGATGGAGCCCTGCATCAGGCTCTCTGCTCGGCAGGGAGCCTGCTTCCCTTCCTCTCTCTCTTCCTACCTCTCTTCCTACTCGTGATCTCTGTCTGCCAAATAAATAAATAAAATCTTTAAAAAAAAAAAAAAAAAGAATTCACAGGAAAATATAACATGATAATTATACAAATACCAACAGTAGCTAACACATAGGTGTTAACACAAGGTCAAACATCTATAAGTGGTACAGGTAAGAAAGCAAAAGTTTTAATATAAACATTTCTTTTTGAAAGGTCAGTTAAATACCTTATTAAACGATAAAAATTTAGCTAGGGCATCTTCTGGAAAAATAACCAAAAAAAAGAATGTATTTATCTTGAATAATGAAACAATAAAATAAAATACTTATGGTTTTCAAGGTTTATGAGAATCTCTACAGGTTTTTCAAAACCTGTATCACTCTATGGCCTTGCACCGGCCAAGACTCCTTAGAATCAATGTATATAGAGCTGCTACAAATGGGAATGCATCTCTCATAAGGAAATAGCATAAAAACAAAAATAGAGAACAAATGGGTTAAATTGCTTTTTATTGGTTAATGACAATTTTATTTGGTTCTTAACTTCACCCTAACTTTCCTTATTTATACTCTTCAAACCACTGTTACCTAAACTTATCTGATGAAAAAAAATCACCTAGAGCATTTGTTAAAAACATATTCCTAATACGAAAATTATAATTCTAAGAAGCTGTATTTATTACAAATTCCTGAGGAAATTCAAAATAGTTTGGCACATTGGGCAAAGCCTCCTGGGTGCCATCTCAAATCTAATAAGTCAGAATTTCTGGTGGAGGGACAACTGAAGTTATAGGAACTAACTGTGATTTGTATCAAGAAAAAAAGAACCTCCGATCTAATATAAAAATTTATTTTGAATCATTGCTTTTTAAGTTATTTTCCAAGTATATATTAATGAATGATTGTTACACTGATATTCTTTAATAAAAATAGCTATTACTATTGCTTAAACATAAAGCAAATATTTTTATTAGACTCAGGTAAAATTTTTAAATGTATACTTGAAAACTCCATCCTAAATCATAATTTCATCAATACATGGCAAAACACACATGGGATCATAAGCAAACAAGAAAACAAACGAAAAGAAAGAAAAAGAAATGACACTCCCTCTGCTATATGTGGGCTCATCATCTCTGTTATGGTTGTTCCTGTGGATAAATATTCCCATGGGTAAAATGTAGAGTGTGCCCTAAAGAAGGCAGAAAATCTCATTGTCATATATCCAAAAAAGACCCTTGAACCTGGAAGGGGTAACTGGCCTTAAACATGTGGAAATAGGAACTCCTATTATTTCTGTCCTTTGTTGTTTTAAAATTCAGAACTTTCAAATGGTTACTCTTACACAAAGATGGAGTCCATTAAAATATTTTATACACACACACACACACACACACACACACATATAAATGGAACATCTCTCTAGAAAAACCCCAGGTAATAGCAAATTATATCTTATAAATCTAGTTACACAGTTACACATTTCTCTGCATTTTCTCTTGTTATTTTTTATGTTCAGAGTAGGCTTTTAAAAGTACATTTCAACCTGGTCTCTGAATATCCATATTCTACTAGATATTAAGCAAAGGTATATTTAATGGGCCAAAACATTAGCTGTAGAGCAACTTTCCCTCCTTGAAGTCAGCATTATTTAAGAAGCAGAAATCACTGCAACTTTCAATCTCAGGAAACAAGATTCAGGACTACCAGAATTAACTAAAACTCCCTCAAGAAAAGTCTCTCTGTATTACCAAATCTGGAGGTTTAATACCTGACCTTTTGAAAGAGCTAATTATCTATAAATCCATAGTGCATGATATGTACACATTTAAAAACTACTGTGAAGTCTGAATCTCCAGTCTAAAAACTGGTTCTAATATCTAAATCTAATGAAGTCAGAGGAAGAAGAGGGAAGAAGAACAAGAAAAAGGAGGAGGAGGGAAAAGGGAAAAAGAAGAGGAAACTTAGGGGAAGATGAAAAGGATGAATAAGAGGAATTAGAGGCAAAAGAGGGACAAGAGAATATTGAGGAGGAGAAAAGTAATGAAGAGGAAGAATAAGATAGAACTGTAATTAAAGCAAAATTTCTGCAAATGCTCTTCATACATAATTCCTCAAAACTATAATTAAATAACAAAGTTCACATATAACTTTGCCTTTGAATAAACTTTGAATTAATAATGTAATTATTAAAACTCTTTAATATTGTTTTCATAAACATGCTGAAAATTGAAAAGACACTGTATTATTTCTATATAACATATAGCAAATTTATATATTCCATAAATTATTATATAAACATATACAAAATTATGTACCAAAATTTTAGGATCTAAATAAAGATATAAGAATGTGTCAGTAGTTAGGATTCTAAGTGACTATATTTTCCATTAAACCTGTGTAAAACACCTTGTCAAAAAGCATAAAATCTCTCTTAATGCTCATGGATAATGCTCTAATTCTCTATAAATCCAATAATTAACTTAGTTTTTGCAGTGTACTTTACTGTGCTAGAACAACAACAAGAAAGGCTGGTAAACTTTCAATTTTAAAAACGTATCACATAGTAACAACCACATTACTTGGCCTTTATTGCCATGACTACCTTTCTTACTCCTGCCACATGGAAAAGGTCCTTGGCATACTGCCCCAGAAAGAGCACTGACCACAACAACACCAGGCCTTCTTTCTCACTTTATCCACAGTAACACTTCATTTATTTTACACCACTAGAAAATAAACTGCTCAACAGAAATTAACTGTCCAGATAAACAGAACCTACTCCTTCAGGAAACAAAGGGTTCTCTTTGGTTGTTAAAGCTTATTTTATTCACTTATCCAACATATATTATTAGCAATCCACCAAGTTCAGAATTCTGTGGCAGGTTTATGAAGGAATACAAAGATGACTCTAACACATAGCTTAGTTTCAACAGTTACTAAATAATGCACATACAAATGAGTAATAAAGATTTAAGAGAAATAATTGCTGTAAAAAATACTGAAATAATATGCAATGAGAGAGATTATATTGGAAAGCAAGGAAATCAAGGAAAAATTCCATGGAAATGGTGTTATATGGAATGGAACCTAACAATAAGGTGGGATTTGAAGACCAATAGCCATAAGTGAGGAGACACATAAATGTTTTCACACCAGAGACTGAACATTTGAAAAGGAAAAGAAAAAAACTGAAACATATAGAGTAGTTCAGTTTTGACAGAATAAAGAGGATAAGTAAAAAGCTAAAAGTGAAATCTAAATCATGAAGGACTAGGCTAAGAATGTTAAATTATTCTATAGTTAGTGAGAAGCAAATGACTGGTTTGAGCAGTGGAATAATATGTTCATGACTATAAATCAGATATTAGTATATAACATAGTTTGGGAGAGGAAGAGACAAAAGATCCAAGATAAAGAGAGAACAATATGGAGAATTTAAGCAGCAACTAAGGAATTTTATTAAAGACATATATTACAGAGATACATAGTACAGGAGTGAAAAGTTGCACTAATACCATGATCAAAAAGGGGGTGAAGAACAAAGCTGATTCAAGTCCCCACTATCATGAAGATGGTAGTCTTTGGCTTTGATTAAGCAGCTTAATCAAAACAGGGGACTTAAGAACATACTGAATATGGGACTGGAAATGTAAATTCAGTGTTACATTTTCTGTAAATAAATGAGGGGCCAGAAAGACATTTACATGGCAGTATCTTTGGTAGATATAAGAACAGAGCTATAAGATATAACAGAGCTGTAAGATATAAGAACAGAGCTTGGAGGTAAGAATAATAGTGGAAAGCATATCATGAAACTGAATAAAAATTTTCAAAAAATTATATCCTCCACAAAAGCAGGAATGTTATCTGTTTTGTTCACTGTCATATTTCTAGTGCCTACAACAATGTCTGGAACTCAGTAAGTACAGTAAGTATTTACAGTAAGAATGCCATAGAATAGATCCCAGTGAGCAAGTAAGTGAGACAGACACTGTGAGAGGTCAAGAGACTGATCTTTTTATGTGAATAGTTAGACATAAAAATAAAAAGAAAATGCAGACAAGGAGAAGAGAAAAGCACTATGAGTCATAAGAAAAATCAATGAAAGAGAATATTACAGAAGTCATAAAAGGTGAATTTTAAGATGGGGGAATTGTGAATTGTGTCATTCTCAATAGAAATATTTACTTACACCTACCTTACGTGGTTGAAAATCATATTTCACACAGTGCTGAAAACCTTTTCCTTTAGACTTCAGTGATGTGACTATTAGACAGTTGCCAACGAAGTGAGCAGAGTAACCAACTCCTTTGCTAGTACGAAAACTGTAAAGAAAACTGAGAATAGTATAATATCCTCTGATACAAAGAACTATATTTCTAAAAATTATTAAATAAATAAAATATAAAACATTATTATAAAAATGAAACTCATTTCCCCATAGAGTAGAAGGGTATTACATGTACCAAATAAAGATTAAACCATAAAAGGTTTATAACAACTAAAGAAGAACTTTAAATTGAGAAAATAGACTACAGATCAAAACCCTTCTGAAATTTCAAGGTAAAATATCACAAATACATAAAAAACAGATTAATGGCAATGAAAGCCTACCAAGTAGATTTCATTTACCTTCCAGGACTCCTGAAATTAGCAAATACAGACACCATTTACACAGCTACTCTTTTCAAAAACAACTGAATCCCAAATCTATTATATCTTTAAAAATAGCTTAAAAATTACAAAAAAAAAAAACAGTTAGAGCCAAGTTTGATAAATGATGTAGGTAATCAAATAAAGGAGTACATTTTAGTCAGAAGAAGAAAAAGGACGTGTCTATGAAATAGTTATTTTCTTCTAAGGGAACACTCCTCCTAGCTGTGAATTTAAGCACAGTATTATAAAAATTGTAAAAAATAAAAATTTGCTCTGCAAAATAATGGTATTATTAAAATATATGTATGATCTGCCAAAATGATCATTCTGAAATTCAACCCATTTATGTTTGGAAGTTCAGATGTTTGTTTAGAACTCTTTTATAATAGAGCTTACGATCTGTTAATAGCTCACATTTTTCTGCACTCACATTTCTGAGGCAGTCAATGTACAAAAGTGCTTAATAATTCTCTCATTAAATCTGATATGACAGGTACTACTGTTATCTTCACTTTACAGTTGAAGACACCAAAGCACAGAATCAATATGTAGTGAAGACTTAACCCCAAGCAGTCTTATTTCAAAGCATTGCAAACTTTAAATGAGGTAATACATGTAAACATTTACAATGCCTAGTGTATGGTAAGGCAGTGAATCAAAGTTTGATGTTCTCATTACTGTGCATTATTGGTAAACTAAAATAATCAAGCTCTTGGTCCTTACAGGTCAACCTATCTGGATTTATCAACCTATTCTGTTAGTTATCTATCAAATAATTACTTTTATTATTTGTTATTTTCTTGCATAGTAGTTATCACTAATATTTTTAAAGCATATCTTAATTATGTTCATAGAACAAAGAAAGTAAAAAGGCAAAGTAATGAAATCTGGAAGGAGTTTGGTTTTTTTTTTCCTCCCCTGGGCTGGGGACTTGCATGTCCACTAACAATCCCCTTACTAATCTATATTGATGTGGACTAGAGAAAGAGGCTTGTAAACCTTGACTTTCTAATGTTACCATTAGAAAAAAATAATGAAAAAAAAAATAAAAATAAATAAAATAAATAAAAATAAAGGAAAAAAAATAGTGATGCAGGTTGCCTATAAAACCAATAGCAAAAAATGAATAAATAAACTGACATGTCTTTATAGTTTTAACATATACAAATATAAATATAAATATATTTTTATATATATTTTAATATATACATACACACACACACACACAAACACATACACATTCTATTTAATATGTTGCCTTGAGACTGTTACATATTTATAAAACTGAAATACTTAAGACGAAAGTATGAAAATTAAATACATTACTTACCAATAAAGATAAGGTTTATCCTTATCAACATTAATGTTATTTAATGGATCCATACGAAACCAAGTATTTAGGGTGAAGCCATTCTGATAAGGCCACTTTGCAATAGGAGGCAATGCAATTGCCTACAAGGCAATGAAAAAAGAAAAGTATCAGCTTAAGAAAATGTGATAGTAACCAAGGCCAAACATAGCCTTTACAGATCAAAAAACAAGGAAGGTATAAATATCAGAAAATCATGGACTTATCCCCAACCAATACACTTTTTGTATCACCAGTTTCAACATCCAGTCCACTAAACCCTAAATCAGAACTTAAAGATTGCATTAACCTAAGAGATAGAGGAAAGAATTTGAGCCAAGCTGCCCTTCAAGTTTTTTAGACCTACCACTCTTCCACTAAGAAAAAGACAGGCAGTCCAAGAGATCATTTGTTATTACCTCCATAGTAGAACTGAAAGAGCCCTAAATCACATACAGTTGCAAACACTAGTGAACCTAATTACAACGGAAAAAAAAGTCTTACAAAAGAAAAATATAATCTTAAGTGATAATGAAATAATACTAGTTTTTGTTGATCTTGCTACAACTGATACAAAACACACACCTGAGAGGCTCTAGACTAGCATTTGTCTCGGTTTCATTGTGGACTTCCAGTAATTCCATGGATAATTTATATATTATAGCCAATCTCTTCAACAAGAAGACATTCTCTGAAATTTAGTATACAACAACTATACTAAATGTTTAAGGGACCTGAAATTGCCCATTTCTAGATGGTACTCTTCAGTCTGGCTCCTACCTCTATACCAACCAAAGTCTTCTATACAGAGTACACTGTATCTCTAACCTTCTCCTATTCTTTTTAGCTAATGCATATATCCTCCTTTAGTCAATGTACAAAAGCTAACTTTGTATAGTACTTTCTGATGTGAAACCCATACACATTTACATCCAAACCATTGGTGTCCAATCTCAACACTCATTTCTTAGATTCCTCACATTTCCTTCTGATCCCTTATGTTTATAGCATATCCTTTGGAATACCTTTGTAATTTTGGATTTAAGCTGTCTTTAGTCTTCTTCCATATTTCCTTCTAAAATATTCTGGTACCCACAGCTGGATGTTCCTCACTGTGTCCAATGAGTTTACAGGACTCCAAAATCTATATCCTTCACCGTCCCCTAGTCCAACAGACTCCAAAACCTATGCTCCTATCTATTTAATTTGCAAAAGAAACAATTCTGATGTTTAGATGGAATGCTTTCAGTAGACTATTTTAGTGAATTAGAAGAATTCACTATTTCCTAAATTAAGCAGATTCATGAAACATGATAAGCATGAAAGGCAAATCTAAATAGTATATCCATAAAGGCCAAAGATCACATAAAATGTCATCTTACATACGCCATCCACCTTTACATAACCCACTCTATAGAATTCCATTCCAAACTGCTCATATGAAGGGAGCATAGCTCATAGAAACGCACCTCCGTAGTATAAAATATAATTCAGAAGGCCTACTCTATACGGTTACTTCAGAGGGAAAGTAAGCAGTGTCATAATTTTAGTGATCCAAAGGCACTGCTATCAACAGTGGTCCAGACAATATGTACCCTCTTGTTACTATCATGCTCATCCAGAAGTAAACTGTCAAAAACACTGTAATGGTAAGGATTTTAAAGTCAGTTCCTATCTGAATTTTTCAGTAGTTCAGTACCAAAGATAACACACCTGGAAATAAGCCAATCCGTTGCTAAAAAACAAAACAAAACACTGGACTTAAGGTCAAGCAAATTTTAGTTCAGGCTGTGACTCTGCTTTATGATGCTGAACCATGTAACACTGCTGAGGCTCTTTCCACAACAAATTTAATAGCAATAATATCATTTATCTTATACATAGCTTTTATGACCCAAATGAAATAAGAGTTGTAAAAGTTCTAGTTCCTTCTTTGCTTCCTTTCCTACACAGACTATATTCCTAATTGATAATACCCTTCATGAAAATGAGTGATACAGGGAAAACCAAGAAAGAAGGAGTAGATAGTCTAAGTCCATCAAAATTCCCTGAATGAAAATAACTCAAACATACACCACTAACAACATATAAGTAAAATTCTCTCTGTGTGCATGCATGTATGTGTAAAATGCATTACATACTGATAGAAAATATTCAGACTTCTGGTAAATGGATCAAATATCTAAAAACAGGATGACTTGCAACCCTATTGAAGAAATTCAAATCATTTATTAAAACAGTTTAAACATTCTGTTTTAGCTAGTTTTGTTGATTCTATCAGTAAGACAGTAACCTGTTTATATTTCTATTAAAACACTTCGCTCTTCTCACTCCTTAAACTGCTATCTACTAGATGTCAGATCAAGAACACTTTTATAAATTATATCAGAATATATGTATGTATGCAAATAGAACTATTACATAAATCTGAGAAAACCGATACCTTCTTAGGGACAGTGACACTGTTTTCTCTGCTAAGCACCACAACGTACATTTGATATGTGCTCCACTCTAACAATCTGATATGTAAAATTATTAACTTTCATCTGGAAAGAGATTTTTAACTTTATTATTTTTGTTTCAAAATTTTTAATTTTCCTATTTTTGTTTCACAATTTTGTTACAATGGAAAAATATTACTTAAAAAAAAGGTTAGTAACAAAATATTAAGAAAAAAAACTAGGGGAATGGTTGATGAACTGAGAGACTACAAGGATACTTATGCACTGATAACTGAAGAGCAAGAAATATTTACATGATCTGTACAACTTATATTGTACTTAAATATGGAAAAAGTGTATTATTTCATTACAGGCTCACATTAACAGTCTTCCATGAGAAAGTACTAATATTTTACATGAAGGTAAGCCAAGAAACATTAAGGCACTAGTCCTCCACAGTAATGAAGTAGAGGATTCTGAAATCAAAACCAGTTTTCTAGTCAAAAGTTAGACATACTCTCTACAATGCTACAATATTAGATAAAAACGATGAAATCAAGCCGACTGAGAACATGAATTCTTTGAAAAGAACAAAATGGATAAACTTCCAGCTAGATTAATCAATAAAAAAAATCCAATGTCAAGAATGAAGGAGGAGGCATCACTAAATAGCCTACAGACATTAAAAAGATAAGAAGGATATGATGATAAACTTATACCAATATAGTCAACAACTTAGATTAACTGGAAAAATTACTTGGAAGACACAAACTACCAAAGCTCACTCAAAAGAAAATAGAAAACCTCCCTATATCCATTAAAGAAATTAAGTTCATAGTTTAAAACCTTCCCACAAAGAAAACTCCAGGCCCAAACAGCTACAATAGTGAATTCTAGCATACATTTAAGAATAAGTAATATCAAATCTACATAAACTCTTTAATAGAAAGAAAGAAATAGTTCCAAACTCATCATATGAGGAATTACCCTATCACCAAACCAGAAAAAGATATTATAGAAGAAAACTACACCCCCAAATCACTCATAAAAATAATTGCAAAATTTCTTAGCATTACATTAGCAAATCAAATCCAGTGTTGGACAAAAAGATTAAAACATAGCAACCAACTAGTTTTGATCCCAGGAACACAAAGGTTGGTTTAATACTGAAATATCAATCATTGTAACTCACTACATTAATAAAGATTAAGAAGAAAATCCCTATGTTCACTTCAATAAAATCAGAAAAAGCATTGGACAGAATTCAACACTAGTATCAACACATTGATGATTAAAAAACCTCCCATACATAGGAAATGAAACAAAAGATATTTAAAACTTAATGCTAAAAACTGCAAAACACTGAAAAATCATAGAAAACAAATAAAGGTAGAGATATACTATGTTCATGAACCGAAAGACTCAATAATCTCTCCAAATTGTTCTATAGATTTAACATAATAAAATCTAAACCACAGTAAGCATTTTACAAAAGTTGACATGTCTATTCACATGTATTAAAATGCTATCTAGAATAGCCAAAATTATTTTAAAATAAAGACCAAATTTGGAGTACTCACACAAGAAGATTTCAAGAACTACTTACTATACAGCTACGAAAATAAAGACAATCTGATATTGGCATAAAAGCAGAAACAGAGGACAAAGGAACCAAACAGAGTTCAGGAACAAATCCACACACCCCATAAACAGATAATTTTCAAGAAAGGTGCCAAGGTAATCCAATGTCAAAGGACTCTCTATTTAACAAATGGTCAAGAAAACAATTCAATATATTCATATGCAAAACAAAACTTTAACCTCCAACCTTCTGTCGTATCATATTTTAAAAATTCACACGAAGAGAATCACAGACCTAAATATAAGAGCTAAAACAAAAGAACTCTTGGTAGAAAGCGCAAGAAAAAAAGGTCATGACCTTGGTTTATACTAATTTCTTGGATTACAAAAGCATATGCCATTAAAAAAAGTTTAACTGAACTTCACCAAAATTAAAATCTATTTGCTTCGGGATGCCTGGGTGGCTCAGTTGGTTAAGCGGCTGGCTGCCTTTGGCTCAGGTCATGATCCCGGGCTCCTTGCTCAGCGGGGAGCCTGCTTCTCCCTCTGCCTCTGCCTGCCACTCTGTCTGCCTGTGCTCACTCTCTCTCTCTCTCTCTCTCTCTGACAAATAAATAAAAATAAATTTAAAAAAATAAAATAAAATAAAATCTACTTGCTTTAAGAAATACTGTTAAGAAAGTAAAAGAAAAGCCAGACTGGGCAAAGATATTTGACAATTATCCATCTGACAAATTAAGTTATACAACAAATACATAATGAACACTTAGAATAATAAAACAACCAACTTTTTTATCTGAACAAAGATTTGAACACAAATATCACAAAAGATATAAAAACAACTAATAAACATGAAAAAATGCTCAATGGCATCAGTCATTAGGGCAATACAAAAATTATAACTACAATGATATACCATTACATAACCATTTAAATGCCTCACATAAAAAAGATGGACATTGTCCAGGATGCAGATCAACTGGGATTCTCATACACTATTGATGAGAATGCAAAATTTTCCACTATAGAAAGCAATCTGCCTTTTTTCATGAAATGAAGCAAACACTTAGCATAAAACCCAGCAATTTTTTTTGTTTTGTTTTGGTTTTTTATTGTGTTATGTTAGTCACCACACAATATATTATTAGTTTTTGATGTCATGTTCCATGATTCATTGTTTGCATATAACACCCAGTGCTCCATGCAATCTGTGTCCTCCTTGATACCCATCACCAAGCTCACCCATTCTAAAACTCTGTTCCTGGAGTCCATAGTCTCTCATGGTTCATCTCCCACTCCAGTTTCTTCCCCTTCATTTTTCCCATCTCCTAATGTCCTCCATGCTAGTCCTCATGTTTCACAAATAAGTGAAACCATATGATAATTGACTTTCCCTGTTTGACTTATTTCACTTAGCACAATCTCCTCCAGTCCCATCCAAGTTGATGCAAAAGTTGGGTATTCATCCTTTCTGATGGCTGAGTAATATTCCATTGTGTATATGGACCATGTCTTCTTTATTCATTCATCTGTTGAAGGGTATCTTGTTTTTTCCACATTTTGGCTATTGTGGACAATTGCTGCTATGAACATTGGGGTGCATATGGCCCTTCTTTTCACTACATCTGTGTCTTTGGGGTAAATACCCAGTAGTGCAATTGCTGGGTCATAGGATAGCTCTATTTTTAATTTTTTGAGGCAATTTCACTTATGTTTTTACTTAAGAGATGAGAAAATATGCCCACAGAAGATCTATGTTCAAATGAGCACAGCAGTTTTATTTAAAATAGCCAAAAACTGAAAACTCAAGTAGTGAGTTGGATAAAATAGTGAACGGATAAACTGTGGCACATCCATAAAATGTAACACAACTCAGAATAAAAAGGAACAGTATAAACTACTTGGAAGCTATAACATGGGCAACCTCAAAAGCATTACAGTAAGTGAAAGAATCCTGACAGAAAAAATTACATACTGTATGATTTATTTGAAATTCTAGAAAAGGCAAAATCATAAAAGCACAAAATAAATTGGAATTTGCAAAGGACAGAGGCTGGGAGAGGGGACTGGTCAAAGACACACAAGGGAACCTCAGAAAGTGATGTAATTTTTCAAAATCATGACTGTAATTATAATTATGAACTTTAAAACTCATCAAATTGTACTTTTAAATAAGTGAATTTTATGTGAATTGTATCTTAACAGAACTGAATTAAAAATAAACACATGTATTTAAAACTCACCGCAGCACTACAACCAGGGAAATTGAAAAAAGTATCAGGACCATGTCTTTGTGGCATCTGATTAAGAACTGATAATAATTTTACTGCATGTCTTGGCTAAGGAAACAAGAAAAAGAAATGTCACTGTACAAATTTAGCAAAAATACCTAATATATCATGTTAGACACTAGACTGTTTTCTAACTAGAGAGAAAATAATTTTACATCATTTACTAAACTCTTTAAGGAGAACAATTTCCATTACAAATTCAAGTTTATAGCTCTCTAGAGACAAATTGTTGAGCATTAAGTATTAATGCACTAATAACTGAGTACTTTTCCCTCTGACCACAGCTTACCCAGATTCCACTTTCTCCTCGAAGCATGCTGAACAAAAGCTTCAACTCCTTGACAGTGATGCTGTAGCTGGCAAGAACCCCCAACATATCAACTAGAAGATCTTCAAAGGAAAATAAAGTTATTCTGAACTCTAGTCATGAGCTGCCATCTGTCAAGGTAATATACACTTTTTTGAAAGACAAAAGTTATCAATTCTCATTTCTACATACATATTTATCTAAACGTCCTCATGAATAGTCATTCTAATTAACAATTTTTAGGTCCTCAGATAGCCAAACACATTGTTTTTGAATTTTAGGATTTTTCCCCATCAGATTTACCATTACAATTGTTTCATTAGAAAATATATAAAATAGATTTTATAAATACCCACAATACACACACACACACACACACACACACACACACACACACACACCTGCTATATGCAGGGAAAGGAAAGCAAAAATACACAAAGGTACAATGATTTAACGTTCTAAATTAGTTGTTTTCAAATAAAAAAGTGAGAGTCGACCATATTTTATTTTAGATTTATCTACTCTTAATAAAATATATTCTTGAAATATTCCTAGTCCCATTAACAATTCCTTGCCTGGCATTATTCCAAGTAGTATACAGTTATTAAGTACACAAATCTTTGTAACAAGCCTATGAATAAGTACTATTATTAGCCACTTCCTAAAATGGGGAAAGTGAGACATAAATAACCTAATCACCTTTTCCAAGAACACACTCTACTAAGTGGCAGGGTCAGGATTAAAACCTAGGCTGTATGGCTCCAGAGACTAGTCTCTAAATCAAAGTATCACTTAAACACATTACTAGTGGTATCCATTCTGCTCATGTGTTTATGTGCATATAAGAGACACACCAGCTCACCAGATAATAAGAAAATTATACATTTAATCTTTTGTCCTTGATTTCTTTTTCATCTAGACATTGTGAGTAGCACTTCTATCAATCATTCTTTGTAAGAAATTAAAGATCTGAATATTTATACTTCATTTTCTTACTCTAAAGCTCTTTCTAAGGATTAGAAATACTATACAAAGTATTATAATCAATACACATATATATTCTAAATAATGTATCTTCAATTAATTTAAAAAGTGAGTTAGGATAAGTTTAAATAATTAGTTATTGATTAGTATCACAAATTAATACCTGGAATTTGAAAGTTTAAAGTATTTATTATGTATCCATTTCAAAATAGAAATTTCAAATGGTTATTTTCATCAATAAATAATTGAATAATCTTAGTTAATGCCACAATAAGTAAGCAATCCCTATGATTAAACTGTCACTTTTGATATGCCATTTGTGAGAGATCTTTTAATGAAATAAAGTGTTTCACCTCTCAATAAAAGTTTATAGTTACTACATATTAGAAGATTTTTTAAGAAAAAAATCTACATAGAAATCAAGCACCTTAAAGCCCTAAGTTAGTAAGAAGCAGTTTCAAGCAATTAGCTGCAATGGCAAATTCATAGACTTTTTAACATTTACCTACAAATACTTTCCTAAAAAATTAAACTTCTTTTTCTAAAACTTTATCCCATCGTAGATGTAGGTCACAAAAAGTAGCCTATTAAATTTGTATTTAATTACACAGTTATTAAATGTCTTATTTATTGTATATATAACGTAACAAGTAGCTCAGTTTAATTTTTTTATAACAGGTGTTTTTTTCTGAACAAAATTTTTAAAGGAGAAAAAATACTCAGACTATGAAATTCTCTTATCAATTTAGTATATACAGATATTTAACTACCTTCTAGTAAAGCCTATAAGTTCCTCTTTGAACGTGACATGGTATAAATATCAAGAGTGAAAACTTAGTAGTGCTTTTTGGTACTTCATTACTATGTTATATAAATTTTATTTTCTCTACTGAAAAGTAAGGTAGAGGTATTTATTTGGCATTTATTCAATGATAAAATAACAAAAAGTGAAAGTTTGTGTTACCAGTATTATTATTGAAAAGCAAAGATAAGAGAATTAAGAAGCTTTATAAAATAGAAAACATGAACATACGAACTTTTGCAGTACTAATCAAGCTTACTATCATCTTATATCTCAAAGCTCATGAATTATGTACCAGTAAATTACCATGTATGTAATTGTGGCTCATTTTCTAAAACACACTTTATAAAGTGGTAGCCACTTTATTTCAAAAAACAAACAGGCAAACAAAAAAACTTCAGGGATTAAACCCTCATATGAGGACTCAGAGATCACATGATATTCTATACAACATGTAAGCACCAAACATATAAGCTTATGCAAATAAATTCCTGTTAAACAATGCTAGGATTTACAGAATGGTTTACAGATGGTACATATTATCATTAAAAGGTATTAAATTTGAACTTCATTTTTCATCAAGTTAACCATTAGTAACCAATATAGAGAATGCTAAATCACTCTAGAGATAGATACCACCTTGAAAGCAATCAGAAATTATTTTAATATAGTCTATAAGAAAAACAAAAATGTTTAAATATTGTTTAAAAGACATTCATCTTTAATTCTTCACTCCATTACTTCTTAATGTTTTGTTCTACTAATATTAAAATTAATTATGCATAAATCAAAATATGAGAGAGGATTCTCTGGTATCTGAACTACTTGTCAAGAATCAGATATGAGATTGTGAGGAATCATATTAGCACTTTTAAAATTATGAAAACTCTTTTATATCAGAAGAGACATATGCTGAAGATTCATGGCTTAAAAGAATGAACATTTTAAACACTAAGCTTATTTTCTGGGAATAATGTTGCTCTGAGACCATATCTTTCAAAACATTTCTATTGAAGTGCATCTAACAACAAAGGAGAATGAACTTGCAGGGAGATAAAGGATTGGCAATGAATAATCATAGACTTCATATTTGAAGTAACACATAACAAGGACGAAAATTAGTATTTTTATCTTATCCAGGCAAATTTTATGTTGTATTCTATATCTGTTTAATACAAAAGTTTCTCTAAAGAATATCAAAGTAAAATGGAGATACTTCCCAAAAATTCAACATGCTTATCCTAAGGACATTAGTTCCTCCTGTCATAGTTCCATATATACGAAACTGAAAAGCATGGAGCTTGAAGTTGGTAAAGTGGACTTTTACAGAATTGTAATACATATTGTAAAATTTTAATTACGTAAAATTTAACTAAGTACTATGTAAAAAGGTACTGTTTATTTTTCTGATAGATTTCGTGGTTATTTATTCCATGTAATGAGATTTTCTAAAACCTGGAAAAGCAAAATCAGAATTTTGTCTAATAAAGAAAAAGGTATTTTCTATTCTTCAAGTTTTCCCTTAATATACAGGGCAAATTTTCCATACATTTCTACTATCTATTTTAAATCAAGTTAGCTCCAACAAATCTATATTACCAATAGAATATAAAGAGAAGTACGTGACCCTTGATAAACACTTTAAGTATATTATCCTGTCAGATAACCTCATACCTGCTATCATGTCATCTACAGCACTCATTTTCAGCAATACTTGTTCAATTAGCCCAACTTCTGTGCTAGTCTGTAAATTCCGAACACTTTTTCGTAAAATGGCTGTAAACATGCTCCATATTTCTGCTTGACATGTTACATCACAGTGCTCCAAAAGCTCTGTCATGCATGTTATACTCTCAGCATCCTGGATAATAAAGTTCATCTCCAAGTCAAATTCTCCACCAACCAGCTGAAAATAAACAAAAAGAAACAATAACTAATGATAACATGAGAGATTATTTATAACAATAAAATAAAAATAATAATTCAACCTGCATGATAGCATAGCTACTCTAAAACATTTCAAGTTTTCTAGTCTAACACTACTTTTGATAAAAATTTGAAAGCTACAGATTAAGGGTGCTATAAGAATGAAAACTAGCAATGTCTAGTTTTTTAAAAATGGAAAAGGGTAATTTCAAATCAAATGGAGCAAAATGGTGCAGAGGACTACTGGGTAGGATTCAGGACAAATTCCTATAAAAAAGAATTTGGCTTCAAAAAGTGATAATCATTAGAAAATGCAGAACTCACAAAGGATAAATTTTAAGACATGAAGTTCATTTTCTTTAGTTCATTACTAGACTGACAAATGAGATGTAACAGAAAAGAAACAAAGGGCCTAATCACCATGTACAGAAGATAAAGAAATATGATTGATACTAGCAAACTTATAGTAAAAATTGAAATGATAGAATCAATGTTAAAAATGTTTAAAATATACCTACTATCTTATAATATTTTACTTTAAAACTTGTGAATTGATATACAAAGATGATTTAACAGCAATGTATTTGACTTGTGGCATTACAACAAGTGAGTCAAAAGTATTACTGTCCTCTATATCTAAGAGTTCGGTCTGTTTGTTCATTTGTTTTTCGTTTATTTCACATCTGTCTTTAGTTGCCAGACAGATGGTGAGCAAGGAGACAGGCAAAATAGATAAAGGGTATTGAGAGGTACAAACTTCCAGTCATAAAATACGTAAGTCATGGAAACGAACAATACACTAGTCAATAGCCAATAACATTGTAAAGACATTGCATGGTTACAGATGGTGACTACATGTGTGGTTAGCATTGAGAAATGCACAGAATTGTCAAATCACCATGTTGAATACCTGGAACTAATAAACACTGTATGTCAACTCTACTTCAATAGTAAATTTAAAAAAAAAAAACTTTTTAAAAAGTATTACTCTTTCCTACTTTAAGTACAGTGATAGACAAATACTCATAGAATAAAAGATGTAATGATATTCTTATTCTCTATTGTTCAAATCACATATGACATATTAATTATATTGTTATAAGTACTATTCTTAATGAAGAACATTGAAAAACTAGGTATCTTTCTGGTCTATAGAAGAAAATTTAGGAAGAAAATAATAGCCATATACAAAATACCTAATAAATTTGAAATCATACATGCATTATTCATTCATTCAGTAAATATTTTATTTATTAAAAATTAGAAATTACTGTTCTAGGAACTAGGGATATATCTATGGACAAGAAAAACCCCATGTGCTAATAATGTTAAGTTCCAGAAATAAAGATGTGTGTATATATGTATATGTGTGTGTGTGTGTGTGTGTGTGTGTACACTCTACCTTATTCCCCCAAAAGTTGAAATTGGTTCATAAGTTACAGAAAGCATAAAAGAAGATATAAACAATAAGTAGTCAGGAAAATGGAAATAAGGGGGAAATAAAATTAGGGGCAGATAGGTACCAGAAATTAGGTTCACGAAATAGAATTTTTTATCAAAGAAAAATATTCATTATAAGGGTAGATATATGGGATAAATATAATTAATAATAATAATAATACCATCAAGTAAGCTTACATACCACTTAGCACTATTCTGAGGGCTTTTCATATATTAAATAACTTAATTCTTAACAACTTATGAGAAAGGACCTATTATTATCTTCATTTTACAGATAAGGAAGAATAGGCACAGAAAATTTAACTTGGAAAAGATCACAAAACTAGTAGATAGAGGATCCAGGATCAAAACCCAATAAGTCCGTCTTCAAACAAGTCCATACAAGCAATAATCTCATTTAAGAATATTTTTAAAGTCTTGAAATTTAAGAATTTAAAAACAAAATATTCTCAAATTTTAAAATTATACTCTGTATTTTTCTCTGTAAAAGCTGTAAAACTCAACTATATGAGAAACCAGCCCTCATCCTAACTCTGACTTTTTTTTTTTTTTTTTTTAACTGACCTAGATATTCTCTTGGGTTAAAGGCTGGTTTTACCTCTGTGTATGAAACAACTTCAACTCCTCTTACTATTTCGGTCTTATTAACAAAAATAGCTACTAGAATGGTTAAGAGATTGTTTCTGAATTCAGACTTCCTGGATTCAGATTTTAGCTGCACCACTTACTGTGTGACCTTAATGACTCCTCTAAGTCTCAGTTACTTCATCTAAATATGGGAATAAAAGTTCCTATCTAACAGTGTTGTAGTTATGAGGATTAAATAAAGTAATGGCGTTTAGGTGCTTAGGAACAAAATTAGCCATGTAGCTAACATTCAGTTGAGATTAGCTATTACCAGTTCTCTTATGACCCTAACTTTAACAACAACAACAACAACAAAAGTAGTCATATAATCACGTATGTCTGAAGTACCACAAAACAAATAGCTTGAGCCTTGTGTTTCCAGCAAGTTAAACTATTGTGGATCATGTACTCTCTTAGATATTAATTGTAGATTTATGAGAACCAACTCAAACATCTTTTCACCATACCATGGTCTTATCAAAGAACTGGTTACTTTTCTACTTATATGTCCAATTGACTTGGGTCACTACTTATGACCCTTGTAGACCAATGGTTAGTAACTCAGAAGAGATTCTCTAAAAGGGAACCATATAGAGAGGGAGGAAAAAAAAAAAAAACAGGTTTGAAAATCAATGATGTGGACACTTACTAACTGAACTAATAGAAGGAGATAACTAAGGTTTAAGCCTACGTGTCTCTGAATAAATGTGCGTAAGAATTTGTATATACTAAAATGGGAGAATATTGAAGAATTTTTTAGACTAACCTCCTAAATGAACTGTAAGTGCTTCCATAGAGTCTGGCATAACCAACAACCATTATGTAATGTGTAAATAACAGAGATGGGTTCAGTGGGAAGGAAAAAAAAATAGTCTGCTTTTAAAGGAATCAACAATTAATATGTATAACTCTAACAATGAGGCCTCTGTTTTAGGAAGCTTACGGTTTCATCTTTCACAGTTAAAAAACAATGCTCCTTTCTATGTATCATTTAATTACAAAAGAGTACAGTTTGGATCTCTGACTTCTTTGTCAGAAGCTGTAAAAATATTTATTGTAGATGTTGTAAAGTGGGCCTGTATTTTCAGATGTTCTTTCTAACCTTATTATAATTTTTAATACTTTAGTGTTAATAAGGTTAAATACTTACAAAACTATCATTCCAAGATTAGAGGAATATTTATTCCCTACTTATAAATGAGTGGTTCCATATTTACCAACTAAAGCATGTAAGAAGAAGTAGAAACAACTGGCTTTCATTATTTAAACTATTCTCTAACAATCCTATGAGGAAAATGCACAATTGTCTTCTTTTATAAAAGTGAAAATAAATGAGGTTAAACAGCACGAACAAAGTCACATGTAAGTAAAATGACAGATCCAGGAGTGTAATCTAGATGAAAAATGAACCTAAATACCTTCCTATGAAGTTAGAAGTATAGACTTAAAAAAAAAAATAAAAAACACAAGGCGTATCATAGTAGATCTACAAAGAAATCAGTGTTGTATGAACTGTATGTGGAATAAAAGAAGAGAAAATAATTTCTATGGGTAAGAAATAAAACACCCAGAGGTAATAAATAAAATTTTTAAAAAACAACTAATTTATTTAAGGTTATTTCAACAAGAAAGTAGAAGACTTTGAAGGCTCAATTATAGGAAAATTAGCAATAAACACTAAAAAAGAAAACTCAGGGGGCAACCTTTAAAAAGCAATAAAAATGACACAACAAAGCTGAAAAAGCTAAACCAAAAAAAGCCAAAATCACTGTTACCCTAGTATAAAAGAGATTTATAAATCAATTAAGACTTCCTGTAAATATGAACATGTCATTGCAATACTCTATTTGTACAGTTAAGAGAGTTCTTTTCTTCTAGGCCTTTTCCTTAAAATTCTAAAAGGATGGTGAGTGCTGTGAATTGTGTAAGAAAGACTGATGAATCACAGACCTATACCCCTAAAACAAATATTATGTTAATAAAAAAAAAACTGTGGTGAAATATACATAACATAATATGTATCATTTTAACCATGTGTAAGCATATAATTTAGTGTGAATACATCCACAATGTTTGATATTGTTACAGTCTGAAAATCAAAACTTTGTAACTGTAACCTTCAAATCAAAATCTATCTACAGGAAGAAGGAAAAAATGAACCAAGAGTAAAAAAACGGGTGGAAGATGATGGAATAAGCAAAGTTGATTAAAATTAAGATTTTTTTTTTTTTTTTTTTTACTCACACTGTAGTTTTTCTATTTTGCTTTTGGTTTCATAAAGTCATAAAGCACTATCTTAAAATTAAAAAAAAAAATTCTAAAAGGTATTGCCACTATAAGAAAAGTGGTCCACAATGGTGCTTCCTACCCAAGAATTGGTCATAGAGGAATTTATATAAAATAAATACCACAGCTGAGATTTTTAAATGAAGTTACTCTTATTTACACAAAGAAATAAAATTTACTATATAAAAAGTTAGAATATAAAATCTAACTGACTTGGAAAATACCTTCTGAAAGGACTAAGTTTGTAATTACTAGCAATTTAAGTATCTTTTATCTTTTTAAATATAGAGTTTTTAAATGCCTTTATTTTGAAATCTTAGATTATTAGAATCATATGAGATAATTCTTATTAATTAGATCAAACTGGACAATTAGTAACCATTTGGATTTCTTTGCAACTTATCCTTCTGGATAAATCCTAAATTAGATAACACTGCCTATAAAGTCACGATTTAACGCCTCAGCTCCAGCTTCCTCTACTTCCCATTTGCTAGCTACAGTCATAGGAATATTTCTGCACTGCACATCTCTCACTTCACCTAAAACTTTTCATATATGTTATTCCCTATACATGACATAGAGTTCTCTTCCAACCTTTACATTTGT